GGGGGGGGGGATAATGGGAGAGAAGGGGGGTTGATTAAAAAAGAGTGTGAGATGAAATGAATTTAGTCGATATAATAGGGAGGGAGGGGTGGACGGTACGGGAGATATTCGTGTAATTACTTTTAGTTTATTATTTATGATTGAAGTTGAGGAAGGTGATGATAAAAATTGAAAACTCATTCGTATAATGTGTCATTACGTAAAAAATCATGTTTCGACTTATACAGACGAGGGTAATGAAGTGAAAAGAATATTGAGAAAAGAAAAAAAAGATATTTACATATGGAATGAGAGGAAAGTGAGAGATATATACGAGAAACGCGGGGGGTGGGAGATCGTAAGGGGGATAGAAAGAGAAAAAAATAAAACAGAACACGAAGCCAAGTCGTATACTAAGCGAATTAAAAAAAAAAACCAACCAATGTAAGCGAAAAGATATGTGTGAATAAAAGTTTCATCAACTGTGAAAAAAAAAGACTACGAGCACATGCAGTGAATGTAGAATGAACCTTCCCTAAAGTTAAGTGTCGTTGCGTTTATACCTCGCTCGTCGTGCTTTTCTGTATGGCAGTGCCTGAGCAAAGACAAGAAGAAAAAGAATCTGTTGCCGATTGTTCGTTTCTGTTACGTCATCGACCATTACTCCTTTATGTACATCAATGTGCGAAATTTTTAGTGGGTAGTCGTTACACTAGGTCACGCTCAAGACTGCTACAGTAAAATAGCTACAGTAGAAATAGCATAGTATATGCTGAAACGTAGACGGCGAACCCTTGAACTGTGAAACCGCCATTGCTAAAGATAATTTCTTTGAAAAAAGAATTCGTATACCGACTGTACCATGTATGTGAAAATTTAAGTTAACTGAAAGAAAAAACAATATGTATTTTTAAGGAATACCTTTTGACATGGTACGCCCTTTATATTCTAATTTGAGTGTATTAAATGTTGAACAGTTAAAGGGTCGACCCGTGAACTGTCCAGAGGACTGGGGTCACGAAAATGTTATGTGTTGCAGGGGGGGTGGGACGAAAACGGAAGCATGTTGGCGATACAACTGGTCAGGTGGTGGTGCAGGGGCCAGGGCGTTTTTCGTGCAGTCTCTGTGGAAGTGTATACAAGCACCTTGCTTCGCTGACCCAGCACCTCGAAGTGCATCGCAACCAGACGACCTGCATCCTCTGTCACACCACTCTCAGTCGTAGAACCGACCTGCGTCGTCATATGCGCTTGAAACATAACATGCAATGGCAAAAGAGCATCCGCAGACATCGCGGCCCTAAACAGGAACTCGACTCCTAACTCGACTTCTATGAACGCGAATTTTAGTCCATGTAGCATTTAGGGACTGCTATTATTATTATTATATTGCTGAAGCGACGGCATTAACTTACTAGTGATACACATGACGTAATAGGTGTAGTCTTATTGCTTCGCTGTGGAGAGGCTTTTACCGATCTCTTTATGAGATATTTTTTTTATTTCCTACGCAATTCCCTCTATTTTCTACTTTTCTTTTTTCCCTCTTCTGCTTTTCTCTGTCTCTTTTCGTCAACGAACCCCTTCGCCATTTCGCAAAATATTTACTCGCTTTATCGAATTACGAAGAATGTAGAAGAATAACGAAGTTTGCGAACGGATTTTATTTACTTGTAGTTTACAATTTCGGATGAAGTGTTGTTAATCTAGTCATTTACTTTAGCTTGTTCTTGAAAATTTATGTGATAAACTTTAAAGGCGTTTTGATAATAAGTATATTGCGAAATACACGTTGTACGCTTGTGCGGATAAATCGTGCGTCATACGTAATCACGGTAAAGAATTTGCTTGCTAGTGAGTATATTAGTATGATCGTAGATAAGCTTTCCATGATCTTTTGAAAGAATGCAAAGAAACAAAGAAACTTAAAATATATAGGTTGGCGAAGGGGTTGAACAACCCTCAGAGGATCTCATTTACAGTTAGTCCGTCCATGTATCAGAAAGCACCTCGTAGGCCCCGCACAAAAAAGAATGAAATGTTACTAAGTGCATTGCTGTGAAAATAAAGAGTATTTGATGTGTAAAGAAACAGTAGAAAAAATATTCGCGTTTAAACGCCCGGTTCTTCGACACGGTTCACAATTTGGTTCTTTTAAATAAACGGAAAATGCTTATATTGACTCTACCCCCTCGTATCATGATTACGGTACGCGCCCAGACGAATGAGAGATTTTAAAGATTCCGGTCGATTTTATAGAAATCGGAGATTTTCGAGTGCAGCGCAGCATCCATTCGCCGTTGCTACGTTGTTCAAAGTGCGATGTCACTTTCACGACGCAGCATGCCCTGTTGCGACACGTTGCATGCAAGCACGAACCAGCGATGAACGCTGCGGCCTACTGTAGTATCTGCAGAAGATTCTTCAAGACGAAATGGAGCCGAGCTACGCACAATAGTCGCTATCATCGAACCGAGAAGTCCCAGAGTCCAAAATACAACTAAATTATTTTATTAAATAATGCTTGAATACAAATGTATGTTGTGGTCTGGGACCTGCCCGCGTTGCACGTGACGTTTTAGTGGAGAAGAAGCAATTGACCCTCATGGATTTAGGCTACAGACCTCCTCTTAGTGCAAGCACAAGATGTAAGACGGAACCACCTTGTACTTTGTAATCTTGTGCTGTTTTCTCATCGTTCCTGAAATTCATGTAGTTAGTATATGTCACAGAATATTCCCTAGTTTTCCCAGATTATTTAGTAATGATGAGACGTACATTTGTTTACCAGAAAATATTAATCTCTGTTGCTGCGGAGGAATACCTTCTTTTTCCTCAACACGCTCCTTGATCCTCTCAACCTTATCTGTCGGTTCTATATCTATTTCAATCTGGAAGAGTCCAAGGTAAGTTATATGCTGATACGTTTGTTTAAAACTATCCTAATGAAACTGGTAATTACACCGTTTACTTAAATACCGGTACCGGTCCTTCATACCCTTAGATTGCTTTTTGGACACCTACCTCTTTTCCAGTGAGAGTCTGCAAGAAGCGTGAGGTGGTTAGAAGTCATTAATATTTATATCTGAGAAATGTATCAAAATGATATTCAGGCTTACCTTCACCTTGATCAACATGTCTTAACTATTAATTAGCTACTTTCTGAAACAACTATTACTTTATTATCCGTAAAACCGTCTACACTATCGAAAGCAGATGCTACGCCACGGACAATAACTTTGTTGTAGAATAACGTAAGTAAGATGAAAACGCCTATCGTGTACAGTAGTAACGAATATCAACGCTAGAGTGCTTAGAAGGCAAGGAAATGTCCGCACTTAAAAAAAAAATGTGGCGGGATGTACTGAAATATTGAATATTTCGTCTCAAGACGTAAACATTTGTTATTTTCAAAAACATTAATATTTCATAGAAGATAAATACGTATACTTCAATACTTTTAGAAATTATGAGAAAAGCGTATAACTAAAATATTTCTTGTTCATAAATTGTGTTATGTGAACATATATTGTACTATTTGTATAATATTAATTAAACAATAAGTACAAAATGCCTCAATGTATTCAGGTGAGTAATCAAAATAATAGAAATAATAGTTTTCATTTATTTGCATACAAATATCAATCATATCATCTACTCTGTGAAAACCAAACAAAAAATAATAGTTGAGGATCAGTATTATAAAATTTTATGTACAAAAATCAGTTGAAGGTTATTGTTGATTACTTTTAATGCTTAAGTCACCTCTTCATGGAGATTCTACTGGTTTGTTACCTTCTGTTTATAAGCTGGATTTAATACTAATATCACGAGCATACAAATTTGTAAAAAAGTAATTTTTATACAAATTAATACTAATTCTTCACATCTTCAAACTCTCTTCTTGCGACATCAATTGATTTTTTATCTTCTGCAAAAGTTCCTTCTTTACAGAATCTGGTACAAGACTTCTTGCTCTGCTTGTGACCATTGACAATAAAGTATCGTATGTAATATCCTGTCCATTTTCCTTAATCAATTCCTTGCAGATTATCTTTACTTGATCACGCCAACCACACTCAACCAAACGACGTCGCAGTAACTCTTTTAACCTATAAACAATAATTACTTATAAAATTGCTTGAATAATTGTATGAATAATTAGTCGTAACTTACACATCCCGATCACCAGCCATGACTAATCTTTGATGTGGTGCAGTCTTCATTTGACACCTTATATTAATATCTTTTTCAAATTGTTTGAATTCTTGATTTTGTTGTTTACGTTCCAGTAGAAACTAGGGGAAATTAATAAAGTGAGGCATCAGTGTTGCCAATACCACAAAGTACGGTTGGCTAGAGTTTTTGGACCTGTGTGAAGGTAATTGGCCGACTTCACACAGGTCATTTTTTTTATAAAATCTGTTTGGAGAACTGACGGATGTATTAAGGGATCATAAGGAATTTCGCATGAGCCATCAAGGGGTTGATATTTCTGTGGAAATGAAACTGATAGAAAATGATTGTTAATCTTGGATACTATGCTTCTACTTCACTTTTGCAAACAATTTTTCTTAAAATACTGTTATTTTGAATTTTGGTTTATATTTTATTCTCATGGTAAGTAACAGGTCCCAATGATATGATGATAACTATATACGGAATTTTATTTTTATCTTTACATTATACATCAAACATTATCCCTGTCTTGGAATTCACATTACGTGTTACATGCTTAATGTCTCATTTTGTATAATTTTATTTGTATAACCATTCGTATTAAGTTCATGTCTATTATCCTCTAAAACAATTATATTATGGGCATAATTTTGTACTTGAACAATCAAATATATATACTCATAAACACCATCCTTTCCCTGCGGAAAAAAAATATATAACAATTGCACTATTGATTTTAATGTACATATTATAAAAGAGTGAACAAAAATTATTAACTTACATTTTTCAAATCAGCTTGAACAGTTGCTTTCTCCCTAGTGCCTTTTATGTAAAATTGTATTTTCATACCTGTGTAGCCATCACCATCATAGTAACTGTAACTAGAAATGTAACAAGTCATTACATATAAAAGACATGGATTGAAATTCAATACAAATTATATCTGACCTGAGACGACCACGACGACCTGGTTGGTTACTTGCATGGGCTGTAATTGGTGGTCCAAGAATACTCTCTATGGTTGTGTCTTCCAAACAACGTTTCAATGTTCTGTTATAAACAGCATTTGGACTTTCATTAGAGAACAACTCTTTAAGAATGGTATAACCTATTACAATAGTCACTCCCAAGCCAATTAATATTACAACAGAATACCAGATTACTTTGGTATTTTCTTTAACGGAACCAACCTAAAATGCAAAATGATTTTCAATTTGCGAAAACGTGAAAAGGCTGTTTAGTTTTGCATATAATTAATATACATACATCAATATACCCAACTTTTGAATTCGTCTTAGATGTCGTTGTAGGAACAGATTTATTACTAGAACAACGAATTCCTTGAAAGATATTATTTTTTAAAGAACCGTTTAGTAGAACACAGTAAGATGATGCTGGAAACTTTGAAAGTAGCGCATGTCGCTGTCTTAATAAATGATAAATAGCTCTGGTGGTAGCCATTGTCTGAAATAATAGAAGAATCAGCCTTATTCTTTATTGGGTATGAATTAATGTAAATATTATGTTAAAAATAACTTAATATCACATCAAACAACGGTACTACCTGCTGCAAATAAAATCGGAGTACCGGCCTCTGCCATTAATAATGCATTACACAGAAACGAAACCTTATACAAAAATTTTAATTACCACATTTTCTTTCCAAAGTGACACTCCGTTATATTTACGTTACAAAAGAACAAGTGTGATATTGCCTCAAAGTATATGTCAATTTAGTACTTCGATTTCTTTTAAAAATTGTCCAAGTAACGTATTTAAATATAAATGATCTTCATGAACCTCTCAACTGAAACGCATTGTGATATGATAAAATTAAGATCCTTGCTAGTATTTACTTATCTTCGGCAAAATTTAATGAAACAATTTTAAACCTTAAGTTATTGGCGCGATAGTCAATCAACAGCAGGATAATAATGCTTATCGCCGTCATAACACCTAGTAAACAGTTGCACAAGGTAACTCCATGCAGCAGAAATTGACCTACCGTGAGAGGTATAAAAAAACAACCATGAATGTCTTTGAAGAAAACTATCCAGACTTAAGTGTCAACCAAGTCATTAATTGGATTGCCTCTGGAGCAATGATCTTTGGGGGGGTTGTACCTTACATTCCTCAGTACAGAGAAATTAAACGAAAGAATGATGCTGAGGGTTTCTCCCTTTACGTATGTCTAGCATTGCTCATAGCAAATACTTTACGAATCCTGTTCTGGTGTGTACATAAATTTTAAACTATTCTTTAAATAACATGTCGAGCCTTATGTAATAAATGAGACACAATTAAGATCTGTTTGAAAATTACAATGAATTAAACTTTTTGAATGTTTATTGTAACACTATTTTATTATTTATTTAGGTTTGGGAAGCATTATGAGTTACCGCTTTTACTACAGAGTATATTGATGAATATAGCAATGCTGTTCATGATAAGAGTCTGTATAAATATACGCAACAAGAACCAAATTATTAAATCTAGGGAACGTGTGTTCACAGGTAATATACATCATAGTTGTATTTTATTAATCACATCTTATCTATTATCTGTATATTGTTGGATATACATTCATCTAGAGTTCTCTATTATTTTCTATTTGGGTATTAATTTGGATAGATTTGGACACTAAGTACTTTTGGAAATGGACAGACTTCCAGTCATATCTAGACTTCATGTTACTCTTTGCGGCATTGGGTTCTATTATAATGTATCTCTTTGTGGATGTATTAATGTTTGTCGAAACTGTGGGACTACTGGCAGTTTTAACTGAAGCGATGTTGGGTGTGCCACAATTTGTTCGCAATGTTCACAATAAATCTACTGAGGGAATGAGGTAAGAATTTAATCAATGTCCTTTATAATATATATATACAATACAAGTAAATATCTTTTCTTCGTGTAATAAGCTGTAATGTATCGTCTGCATTTTATAACTTTTGCTTGTTATTATTTTTCATACACTGAATGATCAGCGACATGCTTAAACTGCATTAAAATTTTTAATGTTGTAGCATAACTATGGTAGCTATGTGGACAATGGGAGACACGTTCAAAACATGTTACTTTATCCAGCGAGAAGCACCTGTACAATTTCAAGTTTGTGGAACTTTACAGGTGCTGATAGATCTAGCGATATTAGGACAAGTATACATTTATAGAAATAACACCAGTCTTGCAAGAACCATAATACGAGCAGACTAAGAGTAATTTTAAAAATATTAAGTAAAATTAACCATCTAATCAATGTAAATAGTATTTTCTCTTGACAAGTTACGTGCTAGAGTAACACGTATATTTTAATACCAAATAATATCAGTGAAGCACAAAAAGGCCTTTCTTCCAAATTTAAAAGCTAAAAGTTTACATTGCTTAAGAAATATTTCTATCTTGTATTATACATTTTAATAAATAATAATTCGATTAATATGAATTCGCCGTGTTTGCCAGTAAGCGAAATAAACAAAGATGAACGAATCCTTCTGTTCACAGTCTATGGTCAACCTGGCCTATGCCAATCACGCGTCAGGTTTAAAAATAATAACCAACCCTGTGTTCCGATATAGGCTTTCAATACTGTGTAAATGACATCATTACTGTATGCAAATAAGATGGCCTGCGACCGGTCTGTTTTTATCAGTTGCAATGTTCTAATTGTATAACGGAACACGGAAAGTATCTACAGCAGAGATGAGTAGGGAGATGCTCAACGTTACGACTTTAGGCGATACCAAAAGCATGGCGCTAAATCGTAGCGGCGAGTCCGGAAGAAGGATTTTGTGATCATCGCCTCCCTCGATAATGCGTATCCCGTCGTAGCCGAGTTAAACGTGATCACGAACGTATAGCTTTGGAGGCAGAGGTTCTCCGCTACTCACAGCCGGTTCCCAAAGCAACCCTTAGAATGAGACCGGGAGCTATAGAACTTCTCAAGAACTATTGAAAAAGCCTATTGTTGAAACATTTTTAAGATATTTTTATGAAAGTGCGGTGCTAACTTGACACACGTGTTGCACGTCAAATTTTGAAAAATGTTTCATCACTTGAAGGCACTTGGCCCTCTATGAGGGCATAAAGCCAAAAAGGAATAAGAAGAAGGAAGAGAGAAGAAGAAAAAAATTAGTTGCACAGAAATATTGAAAATTTGAAACATTGAATAAAGCTTTCCGAATATTACTAAATATTATTGGATCTTGATTTATTTTCAAAATTTATTCAAAATATAAAATTAAGGCTAAATTAAAATCTCGCAGAATATACAGAGTAGATAAAACGTGAATTGAAATTGTAAAATATCGAAAACAAATTACGTTGAAATTGAAATATTAACAAATTAGGTTCTTGGAATATTAAAATAATTAATTAAATCAATAAAGTAAAATATTAACACTTAGAAATCGGAAATTCTGGCCAAGTATATTTAGAAATACTGGAAGTTGCCCAAAATTGTGTGCGCGCACGTTCGTCGCGCAGAACTCGGTGATCCGAAGCAGGCGGTTGGTGGGGGGAGCGCTCGAGTCAGGCCCGCAGCGCTCATTCTTCCTCGAGCCGGTCTCCTATACTGGTCTCTTGGAATCATTTCTCTTATCCATTGCACTTTGTATACTATGTACTTTGTATGTCTGTATGTATTTTTGCACTTTGTATACTATGTACTTTGTATGTCTGTATGTATTTTTGCACTTTGTATACTATGTACTTTGTATGTCTGTATGTATTTTTGCACTTTGTATACTATGTACTTTGTATGTCTGTATGTATTTTTGCACTTTGTATACTATGTACTTTGTATGTCTGTATGTATTTTTGCACTTTGTATACTATGTACTTTGTATGTCTGTATGTATTTTTGCACTTTGTATACTATGTACTTTGTATGTCTGTATGTATTTTTGCACTTTGTATACTATGTACTTTGTATGTCTGTATGTATTTTTGCACTTTGTATACTATGTACTTTGTATGTCTGTATGTATTTTTGCACTTTGTATACTATGTACTTTGTATGTCTGTATGTATTTTTGCACTTTGTATACTATGTACTTTGTATGTCTGTATGTATTTTTGCACTTTGTATACTATGTACTTTGTATGTCTGTATGTATTTTTGCACTTTGTATACTATGTACTTTGTATGTCTGTATGTATTTTTGCACTTTGTATACTATGTACTTTGTATGTCTGTATGTATTTTTGCACTTTGTATACTATGTACTTTGTATGTCTGTATGTATTTTTGCACTTTGTATACTATGTACTTTGTATGTCTGTATGTATTTTTGCACTTTGTATACTATGTACTTTGTATGTCTGTATGTATTTTTGCACTTTGTATACTATGTACTTTGTATGTCTGTATGTATTTTTGCACTTTGTATACTATGTACTTTGTATGTCTGTATGTATTTTTGCACTTTGTATACTATGTACTTTGTATGTCTGTATGTATTTTTGCACTTTGTATACTATGTACTTTGTATGTCTGTATGTATTTTTGCACTTTGTATACTATGTACTTTGTATGTCTGTATGTATTTTTGCACTTTGTATACTATGTACTTTGTATGTCTGTATGTATTTTTGCACTTTGTATACTATGTACTTTGTATGTCTGTATGTATTTTTGCACTTTGTATACTATGTACTTTGTATGTCTGTATGTATGCCTGTACTTTGTATACTGTATCATTATTACGTTTGTCGAATAAATTATCTTCAAACACTTATACACTATTTTTGAATCTCTTATTCCTTCCTATATTTCCATCACTCTCCTCCTAATATATCCTTAAAAACTAAGTTTTTAAAATGTCTTTTGGAAAAAGAAAAGTGCAAAGTGGTAGCGCATGTAACATACCACACGTGTATTATATTGTAGTGATATATTTTAATATATTTCTAATGGCATTGATATTACTAATCTTTCGCGGGCTGTATCTGTATGTCTGTATGCATGTCTGCACTTTGTATACTATGTACTTTGTATGTCTGTATGTATGCCTGTACTTTGTATACTGTATCATTATTACGTTTGTCGAATAAATTATCTTTAAACACTTATACACGTTGATATTCTTTTGCCCTATGCGAATATCCCAGAGTAAGAGTGAGTTCTGTCTCTCCCTTACACTCCTCGGTCCTAACAGCATCCTTCTCCTTCTCCTCCAACCTTATGCTTCTACACCTCTTCTCGGCTATGCTGCATTTTCTCTGCCATTACTTTCATTCCATCTGAATGTTGCAAAAAGTAAAGGGATTTTTTAAAAGTGCCCTATCGCAGTTTTATCTGTACCAGCGTGATATAGCTGAATTTCAAATTACTTTCGGAATTATTTTATTGGAGAAAGTTCACTCGTTGTCTCAGAGATGGCGCCACATATCATGCCCGGGAGGTGCTGCCCTCTTATCGGCGAAAATTCGAACCAATGCGAATTCTTTAATAAGATTTACTCATTGAAATTTCGACGATGGGATTTTTAAATTGAATTCGGAATTATTTTATCCGAGAAAGTTCACTCGTTCTCTCAAAGATGGCGCCACATATCATGCCCGGGAGGTGCTGCCCTCTTATCAGCGAAAATTCGAACTAATGGAAATTCTATACTATGAATGACTGATAATTTCAAAATTCAAAAAAAATTGTGCGAGTACCAAAAAGTAAAGCAATTTTTTGAAAGTGGCCCTATGGAAATCTAACCTGTACCAGCCTCTTCTATGGACCATTCTGACTTTCTGCATTAAGTGATCTTTCAACATTTCAAGGAAAAAGCCCTAAACCCAGCCGTTTTCGAGATACAGCCTCCCAGAGGTGCAATTTCGAGAATTGAATTTCAAAATATATTAGGAGTAGGTGAAGGATGCAGTTAGGACGGAGGAGAGTAAGAGAGAGACTGAACTCACTCGTACTCTGGGATATTCGCATAGGGCAAAAGAATATCAACGTGTATAAGTGATTAAAGATAATTTATTCAACAAATGCAATAATGATACAGTATACGTATATAGTATATGGCTTGCGAAAGATTAACAATAACAGTACCATTACAAATATACTACATATATCACTGCAATATAATATACGCGTGGTATGTTACATGCGCTACCACTTTAAACTTTTCTTTTTCCAAAAGATATTTTGAAAATTTAGTTTTTAAGGATATATTAGGAGGAGAGTGATGGAAATATAGGAAGGAATAAGAGATTCAAAAATAGTGTATAAGTGTTTGAAGATAATTTATTCGACAAACGTAATAATGATACAGTATACAAAGTACAGGCATACATACAGACATACAAAGTACATAGTATACAAAGTGCAGACATGCATACAGACATACAGATACAGCCCGCGAAAGATTAGTAATATCAATGCCATTAGAAATATATTAAAATATATCACTACAATATAATACACGTGTGGTATGTTACATGCGCTACCACTTTGCACTTTTCTTTTTCCAAAAGACATTTTAAAAACTTAGTTTTTAAGGATATATTAGGAGGAGAGTGATGGAAATATAGGAAGGAATAAGAGATTCAAAAATAGTGTATAAGTGTTTGAAGATAATTTATTCGACAAACGTAATAATGATACAGTATACAAAGTACAGGCATACATACAGACATACAAAGTACATAGTATACAAAGTGCAAAAATACATACAGACATACAAAGTACATAGTATACAAAGTGCAAAAATACATACAGACATACAAAGTACATAGTATACAAAGTGCAAAAATACATACAGACATACAAAGTACATAGTATACAAAGTGCAAAAATACATACAGACATACAAAGTACATAGTATACAAAGTGCAAAAATACATACAGACATACAAAGTACATAGTATACAAAGTGCAAAAATACATACAGACATACAAAGTACATAGTATACAATTTAGTTTTTAAGGATATACTAGGAGGAGAATGGTGGAGACATAGGAAGGAATAGGAGATCCGAAAATAGAGTAGAAACGTTTGGTGGTAGCAGACAGGGAAGATGTTGTTGAAGGGAAAAAGAGGAAGATTGTTAAA